CTGGGTAGTTTGCACTATACGTAAAGTAGTCGAACATCGGAAATGTGGTAACGGGGCATCTAGCCGTCTTTAATTCATTGCTCTCGCTATGTTTGTTTCAAGATAACCTTAAATTCGCTTACAGCTACCAATCTTTTACAAACCTGGGCAAGTCGAAGCATGCATTTACACAACTGAATAAATAATTAACAGTGACCTCCTACGGGTTAAGAAGCATTGCTTAACAAGTCCCGTTACGTAGTTGGTAGGGATATCGAAATAACCATCCTGAGAATAATATACATAGTAAAACAGTTAGTAAGTTAAATATGAAAATAAGAGCTTAGAGTTTGCTCCGTTCCAATCCTGCCATCAGTTAAGATGCACAGCACCCACAGTTAACATCCAATTAATCCAAGGTAAACTCTAGGCGCGGGATGGAGACGTAGCGCTAAGTGACAAATTGTAATTGGATGAATGCGTCATCCAACCGTCTTTTAAATAATGTTAATGTTGGTGCAGAGACGACCGATTCCGGGATGGTTTCCCACGGGTGCCAGGCACGAATGGTAAAGAAATTTGTGCGGCACTCCAGGCGGCTATACTGTACAGCGAGTTTAAAAGAGTGACACCTCAGGGTTGTATCGATGCTGAGTCACAGTACATGACGGCACACATGATGTGGATCTTGCAGAATCAAGTATGCCATGCTCAGGTCGCCTCATAATCTGCGATAGCTTCTACTGTATTTCTCCAATTGTTGCAGCCTCTTCTGGTACGAACGACTGTGCATTTCAATTGTGTTCTTAGATGCCGGGTGCTGAGGCTGCTCCAGGACGTTAAGATCGTGTTTTAGACATAGATGCCAGGTTTAAATTGCGTATTCAAAATGGGGGCAAACATGCACACTAAGCATTTGTAGAAATATGGAGCTGTTTATTTGTCCAAGCGCACATTGCAACAGCAAGACGTGTTGCTTTCTAGTTTTCGAGGCCTTTGCATATTTCCCAGAGCAACCAGAGTGCTCTGTAACCTGGACACCCAAGTCAAGTTCGACAGATGATTTTTGCAGTACTTACGTTCCAACTCGGTAGGTGCAGCTGTTATGACGTCGGATGGAAATTACGTTGCATTTCCTCACTTTAAAATGTTGTAAATTTTGGATTGAGCCTTGATGTATCGTATCTATGTTGCTCTGAAGCAGATGCTGGTCGGCGTTCACCGGAATCCTGTGTCAAATCTTGATATTGTCCGCAACCATAGGAAGTTTGCAACGATTCCTTGCGCAAGATCATTAATAAAGACCAAAAACAAACCTGGACCAAGAACTGAGCCTTGCGGCACACCACACTCGACTTGTATGGGGTCCGGTAAACAGCTCCGAACTCTGACCACTAATTGCCGTTGAAAAAGAAAGTTGGCAAGCCAGCTTAAAAGAGGGTCGCCGATCCCGTAATGCTGGAGCTTGGAGAGTAGTATCCCATGGTCTAGACGATGGAAAGCTTTCGAAAAATCCAGGTAGGTCATATCAACCCCTTGTCCAGCGTCAGTTTACTCGGTCCAACTACTGCGTGCGATTAGTAAATTCGTTGTGCATGAATGCTTTCGGCGGAAACCGTGCTGCTCAGGTGTGATGATGTTACTCTTTTCCAAATAGCACACCAGTGCATCGGTAACTACGGATTCCTCACCAGAGTAATTCGTAATAGGTTTATGGGTTTTGCTTTGACACCCATCAGCACGCGCAATACGTTCCATTGGTCTTGGTCGTTGGACACACCACAAGGATCATGTTTTAAATCTGCACAGCTCTAACTTGATTGATGATAGGTTGGCCAAACTACAGTGGAACTACCTCGCGTAGCTGAGGCACTGAATATCTAGTACGACATTTTAGACACAAGTTGCTAATCGGTACATGCCCTCCGCTTGGACCGTGGTAAAATTAGATACGGCCCATCAATTCGACTTTTGGTGTTAGGTTAGTATTTTTGAGATTTTGCTTCATTTGCGAGCTGCCTGTCTCAGCACCAACGTCAGTATGCTTTGACAAATGGCCTTTCCATCACTCAAAACTTGATTGGTACTTTTGTCAAGCGCCACCTGAACAATCTGAGTTAAAAGTTTTCGTTTTCATGATCATTGATCACATTCCATTTTGGTAATTTAACCAGAGCCATCTAGGATGAGCGGCGCTTGCTTCGCCGCATATCCACTGACCCTCTTTATGGCGCTTTCGCCAAAACTACCAGTTACCGTCACGACCTCACTTGCATGCCTCCCCCACCTTACGCCCTCGGATTCCTGCTGATTGTAAGTGCGCAACTGGAGCCGTGAGCATTGGATTCAACTCCACAATGCAACCATGGGGAGACCGAATGATTTTGATTGGACAAGGTCACAAACACCGTGGCAAATGGATGACCCGGCCTTGTAACAAGTATAAATATAGGTTCAGCACACGTATAACCAGGGACCCGGACCGTAGTAATACTGATAGAATCAGACTTCAAAAACCAACTGTACAGGTACGGCGCAATCGTCCTGTGCTACTACTGAGAAGACCAGTAAACGGAAAACATTTTGTTTTATTTTCCGAGTTTGTTTTACCCTTCAATCGGTAGTGTGTTTGATTACGTCTGGTCATACTTAACCAGAGATATCAAATGCACGAGCTGTAAATCCACTACAAAAGAGAAGGACTTTGCTTACCTTCATGATGATTTAATGAACTCACAGTGTGCAGCAATTTCACTTGCTCTGCCAGCACACAGGTGTTCCTGTGAAACTACAAGTTTCGTGCGCGGTACAAGGCAGACAGTAACTGCGCACTTTGTACCATCTAATTTTAGGTACCTTTATACAGTGCCATTAGATGAGCATATCGATCCGGTTAACACACGATATATGCACACTTTAAGAGCGAAGCAAGTTTCTGCAACATGGATGTCAATTTCCGAAGTGAAACTGATTGAATAAGTACAATTACTTGCAAAAGCTAGTAAACGTATACCATCCGAGCTGGAAATTCTAACGTTTATTGTACATGGTTAGTTGTTCTCACTCAAACCAGACATATGACCCGCCGAACTAAGTCACATGGGGTTTTGTGACACGGTTGTAGCTACCTGAGGCTACCTGAGGAAACTGATCTGTAGCAACGAGAATACCGCTAAACAGACAGCATAAGGGAGACATCCGGAGGATATACGCCATGTTCTAAGTGACTCCAATTCATGTGAGGTAAAGCATTTCGACCGAGGATCAAACTGCTTTCCTGGACACCAAACGGCGACAACGATACATTAGAGACTAGTTGCTAATATCCGAATCTCACACTAATCTCAGTCGGCCACTACTGCAGGACCAACAAACCAAAAATTATAAAGATAGTCAAATGACCAAACTTAGTTCCTCACGGCCGATTGATTTAGGAAAAGCGGCTCGGTGAACGGCGGAATTCTGATTCCTTTTAAGGGGGATCCCTCGTAGCTATACTTAATCAAAAAGTAAACCACAGGGTTTCAAAGTGACCTCTTTTCGGTAGACCACATCAGGCAAATACAGCTACAGGGCTGGTAAATGCAACAGTAAACTGATGAAGGCAAAATGAGGACAGATGGGACGGTATGAATAGATTTAGCACTTTCGTTCGATGGAACAATGGAACTATGGTACAATGGAACAATGGTATATGACGGGTAAAAAAGCATACACTTAACGAGTCCCGCAGGTTGGCAATAGAAATAGTAACATAGTGGCAAACCACATAAGTGGTTGAAGTAAGGAGCGTCAGTGAGATAAAAGGTAGAAGTATAACAGTTTTAGGGGGATAAAGTGGTACGACGCAAAACTGGCTAAGAAATTGTTATCGTTGGTGATGGTAACAAATATTCATTTAATCAGGTGACGCCGTGACAGGGCTAACAGATAGCGAAACAACTTATGTAAACAGAAGAGGTGAAAATGCTAAAAAATAAATAATAGATAGGTACATTAATAAATAGCATCGAATGAACGTGCTAAATCTGTTTAAACCATCCCATCCGTCATCATTTTTACCTTCACTAGTTTACCGTTGAATTTACCAGTCTTGTAGCTGTATTTGTCCGATGTGAACTATCGAAAAGTGATCTCTTTGCAACCCTTTGTTTTAATTTTTCATGAGTATTAACTGCTAGTTAAGCAAAAAGTTGACGTATGTGCCGAGAGGTATTGGATAACCGCTTTTTCGTGACTGATCAACAGTTTCATGTTTAACGAGGATTCAGGAACTTTGAACGATGAAGCGATCGTTAGCAATAAGTTTTAATGCATTCCAAGTAGATGGTTACTTCCATGATTGTCGAGTAATTTTGTACAAGTTCCTTAACGGACACGAGGCTGATAGTAGTAGTTACTGAGTCGATAAACGATGAGGTGAGGTATGCCAGGTTTCTCTCTGAGTCATGCCTTGGTTAAACTTTCTTCTCAGTCAACAGCGCTACGGTGAGTTGATTTTGGTAATAAGAAGCGAACTTGTGTGCTCATTAACGCTACGCACAAGGCAACGGATGGACTCAAATCGCCTATCATTTCCGTGATGCGAACACATTTTTGCCTTCAAAATGATGCAGTAGCAACGTTCTTTAACCGGATTAAGCCAAAGTTAGAAACTCAGGGTTTAATGTATATGCACCGCATGAGAGTGATAAAATCATAGCTGGCCTAGCTCATTACATCATCTGAGCAAAGAGTGCCTGGAAGTTAGGAGGTAATCTATTTCTCAGACTATGCAAAATGTTTCATTCATGACAATTGACCAGGTTATGCATATGTCCCACTCTCATAAACCCGTTAATGGAGAAACAGGATTGTTGTGTCTGGTGTGTCCAGTTTGCTGGGACAGAAGGCAGTGAAACTATTAGCCATTAGGCAACTGACATAGCTAGTTAAAAGGCAGAGACTGTTTTAATCTGGTGATAGCATGATACAGCGCACAAAAGGTTGCATTGCAGATATATGCGTGTGCACATCAGTATTCATGTGTACTTACCATATATGAGTTTCACTGATTCTCGTGAACTCGAAGGCTCCATGGCATCCCCGTTGGGCTGCGGGAGTTCGGGCTGCTGTAACTCGTTTTGCTGTTCCACGTTTTCTGAGGACATGCTCGAATTAACAAGCTCCACTGCAGTGTCGGCTGCGATGTTCAAATGATTTGCATTCGGTGTGATTTCGAATCCTGATGAGAGTTGCTTCTGATTGGGTGCCACGTGTTCCGTTCTCCGAACCCACTGTATCGTCGTGCCCTGCGGATCCAATCTAAAAGCATGGAGAGCGGTTGAGTGCAGTTATAAACATGTGTGCTCTTGCTAGTGTGCATATTCGTGCGAACGTGGGTGTGGCACTGACACTTCCATAGTGTGCTTTGCAGGCACGCTCGGATGTTCGAATTTGGCACCAAGTACGTGACTATCACGATAAGTGCAGCAACAGACTGCAGCCGAGACGTTCCCACTAGCCACGATTGATTAATTCTGCTGGCGGGCCCAACACTCATTTCTGACCTTCATTCAAGCTTTGGATACTCCGTTCAAGCCATGAGTTGTTATATATTTATAGTGGTATAAAATTCCACGACTGGGCACCTTACGTAAAAGCAGAAATCGGGGGAGAGTAGTTCCCCAGTCACACAAAGTTTTTGATATGAGCTTAATAGCCGAGTGTCAGAATCCGACCCAACGCAGTCATATATGCCACCACGCGCTAAAGCTCGTTGAAAAACCCCCATTTGACTGATAAGTAGGTAAAAGTGGAGAACGGTTGGTTCCTTTAGCGCCTTAGGACTTTGATTTGGATCGCTCAGTCCTGCAGAGTGCTTCCCCGTTGTTTGATATTTGTCTTTAGCTCATCCTAACTTGAAAGTCCGACCAAACCAGACAAGTGTTGTTCTGCACGCAGACTACCGCAGCTCAGTTGTGTCGAGTTGCCAAGACTGGGCAACAGATAGCAAGTTCCCAGACAGCTCAACTGAAGCCGAGAAGCTAGTTGAGAACCTAACCATATATCACTATGCAGTTACTGGACTACTCGCCTTGACACCGAATTTCGCACCTATCTAAGTCTTAGTTCCGTATTCTCCGTTATTCTAACAATCCAGAGTAATGTGCAAAGTAAGCCTTTTACCTGTACCAAACGAATAGGGCAATAATCTATTCCACAAGTGGACGATTATGAATGAAGCTTACCTACGAAGATAACAAAATGAAAAACTGGAGCAATGGTTTTGGACAGGTATAAAATCGAATGGTTGACAATCCCCGTAAGATGATTACGGTGAACATCTCAAAATTAAAAACCGCATCCGTAAAAGAACATGTGAGGTACATGACTCACCAAGGGGTTTGGAGTAGCACACGTGTGAGTATTCCCGCGTGAATCATAGGGGATTATAATGCCATCCACTGTCTGTTTTACACTAATGCCATCATCTAATGGTAACGGGCTATATCGCGTAGTGTACATGTGTCAGCGTATCGTCAAGGCGCTTATTGAAAAGGGATTAGATAGCGGCGTTAAGTACGTATGACGTGAGGACTTTCCAGGGTTGTAACCTACGGAGGGAGAAAACGTTTCGACGACATCCCAGTAGGCTGTGCCGCGTAAATACCTTAAACTGATGACTCCTTAGTGATGTATTTTGGTTGTTTCAAAAGAGAATGCCGTGTGTGGTTGGGCGTTCCAGGATCTGATACACATTATGAGATCGCCCCTTAGGACTCCATAACGACGGTTGTATAATTTTAAGGCTTTCAGCCTGAGTGGGTAGGGAAGGCGGGACAAACTTTTGACGCTCTGTTTCGCCCTATGTTGTGGAGTATCGAGGGCGGTGAGGTGGTGCTTCTGCTAGTGTTGTTACGCTTGAATTGCTTATTGCACATGCCGCCTTATGTACGCGCCAAGCATTTTCGGAAGGACTGAAACGTCAAACTTTCCGAGAGCTCTACGAAGAAGGCCGAAATGCTAAGTTGCTTTTTTGATGCCTTTTCAGTCTGTCTCAAACACCCAAGCTCTTCTTGCACAAGCACGCCAAGATCGTACTCATGAGAAGTCCGCTGTATCATTTGCGTCCCTGAGCGGTAGTTGGGAGTACTTTGCTGATCTATGCTGAGAAATTTGCACTTGGTGGCGTTGAACTGCAACGTGTTCTCGATGGACCATTTGTAGTCTTTGTCCAGGTCATCCTGTATGGCAAGGTGACCCTTCACTGAAGCGATAGCACGCCATATCTGTAGATCCTTTTTAAAATGGCAGACACCTCAAAGACAGTACGCCTGCAGATCAACTATGAAGACAAGGAGAAGGCGTGGCCAGAGTACTGAGCCCTGAAGTACGCCGTACTGAAGTCCGATGGGTTCCGACTTGGTGCTGCCAACCCTTACGTTCGGGTGATGTTGAACGAGAAAATCGTGCAACAAGCCCGGAACAAGGTCGTCGATACCAAAATTCCGGAGTTCAGGGAGTTGTATGCGATGGTCCAGGCGGTCGAATAACTTTGATAAGTCCAGGTAAGCTGCATCTACTCCTACTCCAGCGTCCACAGGCTCCGTCCAGCTTGCACAAGCTATCAACCGATGAATATTACAGGATTGAGTTTGGTGAAATCCGTTTTGTTCTGAAACGGGGATTTGTTATCCTCCAGGTAGGCCACGAGCGCCTCAATTACAATGGAGTACATGATCTTGGAGATCACCGGAAGTAGTGTTATCTGACGCAAATTTCCTGGTTCCCCACGACTATCACAATGAACAATCTGTTGTCACAGGGCGCCACGTGGCAGCAACTGCCTCGGCTCTGATAAGGTTTACGATAACTGCTTGGCCTACGAGTTTACTTTGTGGTAAGAAAGAGTGAAATTGTTGGGATTCAGAATCTGTTGACTAATGACTAAGTATAATCCGAAGGCCAGAGAGCCAGGTAAATTTGAGACCCAGGGGTCATCTGGAACTAAGGAATGTGCACATTGATGGACAGGAGATATATCGTTTTTGTGACAGTGGATTTGTTTTGTATGGGTGTTCTAATGTTACCTTATTTTAGTCCAATACTGTAGCGCTCATACTCACTTTCATTCTGGCACAATGTTCGGCCAGCGGTGCGAACTTCGTAACCGTAGCTTTTCGCAAAGGTCACCGTTAGCAGCTTAAGTGAACATTAGTAGACCTCTGCTCTTATTATTGAAGAGTAATGTGTTCCCCCGCAGCACGTAGAAAGAGTAGTAAAATTGGTATATACCAGTGATTCACCTGTCCTGAGGCGTACATTTGACACACGCCCTAAATTCCTTAACTGTTCAGCATTTGCCTGGCCAGCCTGATAATATAGCAGGGCTGTTCATGATGTCTTAGTGGGGATTTATGCTACAGTCGTTAAACTTCAAAGAAGACGTGCTAAATCGGCTTAAGTGATCAATTGATATCCTTTTGTGTTGTCCAAACGAAAAGTAGCTGTTTGTGTACGCAGTGAGGGTCAGTTCCTTGATCCATTTCAAAGCGTATACGACGGCTGAGTGGAGTAAAATTGAATACAGTGTTTTGATAAGAATTTGACAATTTTTTTGTGATTTCAACCACACCAATGACCAGAGCCTTTTTACACTTCTCAAACAAGTTGAAGAATTGCCCTACAATGCTCAGGCATAATCTGGAAAATCTTCCATGAATTTCTACTCGACTCTTCTTCTTTTTTCACAGTGGTTGCCCTGCTCTATGTTACTTGGCGGTTTATGATTGGAGGCTTTTTGTTCAACTTCCCCATCATCCTTTCGAAATAAGAATCTAAGCAAGTTAGAGTGAACTGCGGTAGTAGTAGACTAGCTGCATACGCATATCGGTTACACCTTCCATCCGTATACCAGATGAGTAAATCACTCATATATCCCTTTTATGGGGCCGAGAGAAACTAATCGACCAATGTGGCCCGAAAAGACAATGTGGTCGTCCGGTTCTAACTCACTGAATGCAAACGCATCTATTTCTGCTTACTTTTAAATTATAAGTAGTTTGAAATTTTAAAGCTTAGTATTGGAGTGAGATCCAAGGCGTCAGGTTGGACGATTACTTCGTTGATTAGAGGACAAATTTGAAGCACTCGCGTAAATGGATTGCGGCAGGCAGTTAAATGAACATTAGCTAAAGGGTCTAAAGGGGTAGTGGTTTCGGCTAAATTCCTAATGATCCCGGAATTGATGTCTGCTATCCTTATCTAGTGAGGTAAAATAAGTTGGAAGGGCGTTGTGGGGTGCAGGGATTTCGGGCTGGCACCACCTAATAACTGTCAGTAACTATCGAAGGTTGATTTTTGTTTCGAAAGATGAACACTGCATGGACGTATAAATTCAGGCCTAATTTCATCTGCTTACATTAATTTGGAGTGCTAACAATCAACAACAACTCGGCAGCCGGATTCCATTCTAGAAGCAGCATTAGACACCAAAGTGCAAAGGACGGACTGACACTAGTGGTAAAAAGATTGGAACGTACATTTGTGATAAAAGATATTATACATTAACATTGTTATACGAAACTGAATTATCTTGTTTGCGAAATTCTGACATCAGACTTCAGTGACACCCGAATAAATTTCAGGTCAGCTACTGGAATATTTTCATGAAAATTCAATTGGGTTTATGTTTAGGTTACTCAACGCTAGTATCGACAACAGCTTCTAGGGTGGAGGGTAACTACGGCTGCAAACCAGCTAGTGGATTATGAACTACTTAGTTTGATTAACTCACATCTACATCTCTGGAAGTAGAAAAAGATAAGGATATAGGAACACAATTTGGGAATTCGAGTGAACTGGCGATATTTTTCCCACAAATAGGGGTACAAGGGAGATAAACTGCGGAGTAGTTAATGCACCGCTTCCCAGCGGATGTTAACGAACGTACAGAGCTTGGGCATACGTATTCTTGCTCTTGGAGTAGTTCATATATTCCTTTGTGGCAGCCCAAGTCGTGACAGTGCTTCCGAGCTGAACTTGATGGAAAACACCTTGGGTGTTATCTGGATGCTTGCAATGATACGTCAGTATGACAGACACATCTGACCGAATGAAAACAGAGATTTAGTACCACTTCTGACCACCTGTGACCGCATGTACCCCGTAGACCAATAATGTATCAGTCTGGAAATTTCGTCAGTTAAGCTTAGCTCTTTGTGTAAACTTAATATAATTGTATAATTGTACACTTAAGGGAACGATGCCGAGTGTTGCAATGTAAAACGATCGCACTACACACACACACACACACCCACACA